AATGAATAAAACTGGAAAATTGAGAGACTCGAGTCTCTCGTAGAAAGACTGGGATCTCTGACATACGTTGAATTTAGAAAATTTTAACCATGTCTATCGAGACACCACTTATTGAGAGATTCAAGTCTCTGATTCAGAGATTCGAGTCCCTCGTTCAGAGATTCGAGTCTCTCATTCAGAGACGCTAAACAGTTTTTTTGACAGTCCCTCGACAGTCTCTCTCAGCGACACCAGAGATACTCGACGAGAGACGGAGACTCGAATCTCGCTTTCAGAGACTCTGAGAGACTGAACATTTTTATCTCGGGTAACTATTCGCAAATAGAATTTTTGTAGCCAGGTTAGCAACATGCGGACTCTATGTAGCTGCCCTATAAGACGTACAAGAGACATATAACACCTTTCCTCATTCGCTCTTCGCCAGGAATGTGGCATGTGACCTTCCTGAGGAAGAATGTTGAAAAATCAATCAGGTCATAAGCACCATCTGATAATTTTCAAATACGTCCCATTAGAAGATAAATAATCACAAGTATGTTACAGAAGAGTTCCTATGTTTAAGAGTTTAATGTCTCTCTAAGCGAATCCCCATGAGGCATATGTTGAAATTGTAAAGACATGCATGTGCTACGTTTCCCCCATAAGATCCTTGTGAAAAACTCATAAAGAACACTTTACTTCCTTCATTTGCCATATGAGACACACCCCCTGTGATTTCTAGTTGGTAAGCCCCTGTTTTAGTTTTCGTGTCACTTCGTCTTTAGCTAAACCTATTCCCTTAAATGAGTTCGTATTTTGTGGAAAGACTTGAATGCCTGAAACTACCCATGATAGCGTTCCCCCAATCCGAAATTATGAGTTCGCCCCTGGCAAAGCGGACGCAGAACGTGTTTGAATATCAGTTAAATGCCAAAATTACTGTTTACGCGAAGGCACAAAAGCTAATAATGAACACGTACGACCAGCAATAATCATAAAAATAATGTGACGACGACCGACGAGACGATGCGATCCAAGGAACACTTCTTTCTATCTATTCCTTTCCCCAGTCGTCGTTGTTTAAACAGCGGAATAGCGCGACGATTACTGGCGTGACAAAAGGGCATTTACACGGACAGCGCTTTTGTGTACGTGTCAGGCTTACACGCAAAAGTTTAGCAACACGTCTTAGAAACATGCAATCAATTTCAACTGATACACTTGTATATTTGCATACAGCATGATTTTGTTCACCATGTATGGCACGGAGGAGACTAAATAAAAGAGATTTTTAAATGCCGTCATAAAATTTACGAGCATTCCGTATTTGCGTCATGGTTAGGAACGCTACTGAAACATCATGCCAGTCCCATCTATCGGTATTTACTGCTAACTATATCTACGCAAACCATATTAGGTAATAAAAAACAATAATTGCGATTTCGAACTTAATAGTTCACATCACCACGCTATAAGCAGTTTTGATAAATTGCTCACTAAAAACTTGTTTTATTAAAGTTAAACTTATTTCCCACAGCTTCGCTGGTGCACGAAATTAATATTATTTCTCCCCCCATTCACCCCTACATAGTTTTAATGTTATGTCATATCATCGTCTTAGATTTCAAATACAAACATGCCCAAATAGGTGTTACATTAATTACATCAAAGAACAAAAGATAAAGACAAAGCCTCAAGTAAATCTGACCACAAACAAAACTGTACCAGACAATCTCTGCCAATCCTTTTCACCTTGTTAGGGGTTGGATTTCGAAATATCCTTTCTTATTCCTTGTATAAATTATAAAGAAAACATCTGTGAAAAATTTCAGCTATTTAGGTCCAAGGATTTAGCCTGTCAGTAGGACAGGACTTTTCTTTTTATATACATATAAATTTCATAACGCTATTTGGGAGGAGTCCAGTAGAGCATTATGGTCATAGTGTTTTATAATTCCTGTACCTTTTTATTAATTGAATCCTAAAATGGTGCAGGTGAAATTTTTCGTTACGTAATTTATAGGCAGCCCTTAAGAACGCCCTTAATTCTCAAAAAAGTATTTGAAACTGTAATTTTTTAGCATCTTAAATATTTTCTTTCAAGATTTTTATTCTGATCCAATCGGTGGCAATGACACGTAACTTTATAATCAGCTTATAGACCACTTATCACTATCGATTTTGAATATATAAGTACCTATATTTAAATCATCGACTGCTTTATAATAACGCTACCTGCATAGCTATTGATATGTACCTAATGCGTTAAAAATAACATAAAGATTCTGCAAGTACGAAGTGACTATGCAATCACTTCTCAGAAGAAGAAAAGAAAAAAAAAGCCTTGTGATAAACCTGAATCGTCAATAATACTTTACTTGTAATGCGACTATACCTTTTAAGTGAGTGAATACTTATAGACTTCTTAAGCCAAATAAAGAAACGCGTAGGATGATTTGTATTAATCAAAAATCATAAGCGGGTTTTGGTGTAAACAGATATGAGACTTGATGCTTTTTATTCCGTTATTAGATACTCTATTACAACAACTATAAATTTTAGAAAGCACGGTAGTTATTATTCTTATATCAACTGGGAAATACTTTCATGTAAGGGTGTAATTAGACGAATGAAATAAAACTGAAGAGAGAAATACATATAGTCGACTCAAAATTCGTACTAAAAAATAATTGCGACTATATGTATGAAACGATTCTGTATTTCAAATACTATATGAAAAATTAAAAACTGTATATTAAATTGAACTATTTCGAATCGTTTATACCAGTTTTACAAAATATTTTTATTAATTTTG